AAAATTCCCTTGTTCTCTCAGGTGTTAAGATGTCATCTATTTAAGAAATATTATATGGTTTTTTGTTATACTGTAAATTTTCATCTGTGAATTGTTTAATTCAGGCTCCGGAAATCTCCGGGAATGGGTACCACTTGAAAGTGAAGGGGATAAAGCACCTGTTATACGTGCTGCCCATCCTTCGACTGCTTTGCAATATCAACAAACACGAAAGAGACGCAGAGCTGCTCTTGGAGATTATGCTTGGTGTGTTGGAGATAGAGTGGATGTGTGGATTGATGACTGGTACCGTATCTTTATTAGCTTATGTTTAAGTTTTGTTGGTTTACTCGTTGTGCTATGTTTTGTTACTGCAATTCTCCATAATAAATACGAGATGGGTTCTGATGCTTTTTTCCCCCATCCTTTTTCAGCTGGTGGGAAGGTGTGGTGACTGAAAAAAATGAAAAGGATGAAACTACATTAAAAATCCATATTCCAGGTTCTAATTGTATTTATATTACATTGTTATCTTGTTTTTCTAAGGAAATTTCTTATTCTGACTATTAAACTTGCTGCAGCCCAAGGAGAGACTTCAACTGTTAGGGCGTGGAATTTACGAGCATCACTTTCATGGATAAATGGGAAATGGATTGAATGTTCCTCTTCAAGAGTACAAAATGCTTCTGAGCAGGTATTATTTCTAGAATTTTCTAAGCATAGCTCTTTTGCCTATATGTACTTAAGCATGTGTAATCATATGAATTAATATCATAATTCCCGATGTTAGCAATTATAGGAAACGTATCTAATGCTATCTTAAACCTCATTCCCTCAGGACTGTAGCTTTACAAGTTAATTATGAGTAGTTTGGGGGGTATAAGTTGGGGTTAGGGAAGAAATTCTAAATTTATGGAATAGGGAAATAATGTCAAGCAATGATCTGATTATTTTGTTTAAATTGTAGATTTCAAATTTGTAGATGATCAAGCCTCTCGAAAACTTAAATATCATTTACAAAAGCTTTAATCTCCTGCTTATTATCAATCAATAAAACCTTAGAGAGTTTTTTTTACTGTTGTTTTACGCCATTTGTTAGTTTCTCCTGTACGTTGTCAGAAGCAAATATGTGAATAAAATCAATTTGTCAATAAAGCTCCTTTTGAGTGATATTTTCTGATTGAATTTTTGTCATCATAATGAAATTCTTCTGATGGATTCCTTAATACTTTTGTGCAGAGTGATACACCACAGGAGAAACGTCAAAAGCTAGAAATCTCTCAATCAACTACCAAAGCGAAAGATAAAGAATCAAATAATGTGGATTCTGCTCAGGGAAAGCATGAACTGTCAAAATCTTTTAATTTTTCTACTAGTGAGAGAACTTTTGACATTGGTAAAACTACCAATGATGATAGCAAGCGTGCTGCACGTCGACCTTTGAGAACTAACCAACAAAAGGGGGGATCTGGAGGAGTAGTTTTTGGAGTTCCTAAGCCAACTGGAAAGAAGCGGAAATTCATGGAAGTCAGCAAACATTTTCCTGCAACTAAAAGCAATAAGAGTATTGAATTAAATGACTCGGTCAAGTTCACAAAATACTTAGTACCGCAGGGAGCAGCTTCACGGGGATGGAAAGCTCCGTCAAGAAATGATTCCAAGGAAAAACGAACAGTTGAATCAAAGTCTAGAGTTCCTAGCACTCGTAAAGCTCATCGCACTCTGTCTCTTAAAGAAAACTTTAGGTCTACAGTGACTCGAGATGTTGAGAATTCGATGGATCATGGAACTGATGTGGAGGATTCTGCTGGTCATGATAATACATCGGAAAAGTTGATGGACCATGGCTCAGATGCCTGTGAAGATACATCAGAAGCTCCTTTGTCGTCTTTACTTCCTCATTCTCTGAGCACTGGATCTAAGAAGGTCCCTTCATCAAATACAAAGTCTGATAGATTAAATAGAGGAAAACTAGGGCCTTCTGGTGGAAAGTTGAGTAAAATTGAGGAGGACAGAGCCTACTCTGCTAATACTGACAAGTCAAACTTGGATGGTTCCGAGCCTCGTAGATCTAATCGCAGAATCCAGCCAACACATAGAGTAAGTTTTCTAAACTAAGAATTTTTTTACACATGCATAGTTGCATCCATGGAGAATCGTTGATAATGTCTCCAAATTTGTGTTTTGAACTTCTGCAAATTGTGTTTATTTCTGCATCAGTTGTGGGTATAGTATTGGCGAAACTTCTTTAAAATATTCTTTACGCAGCACAATAGCAAATATAATGTCTCAGATTGTGAAGCCCAAAATTTTCAGATCCAGAAAAATTATGATCCAGACAAACTTGATTCTGCACTAAATGAGGCTCGTGTGAATATGACATAAGCTGTTTAAGCTAACATTTGGAGAAGTGTAGAACAGTTCTGAAGATATTTCACTAACGTTCTCTGAAGTCTTTTTTTCCTTCTTTCTTTATTTTTTTCTGTGTCACTGGAATATTATTTCAAATCATGGTCTTTATGCCTTCTGCTATAATCTCTTGTTACTCTTCTGCAATAGGGTTCGGTGCATTGCTGCAAAAGTTAAGACTAGTTTATGGTTAGGAAGAGGGAAAAAGTATTTACCTATTTTGTGGCCATTTTTTTTTGTTCAAGTTGTTACATGAGCTGTTGACTTCTCAGATTTCTATATAGTTTCTATATAGTATTCATACCATACTGTTGGAAAGTTTTTGGTTGCTGCTAATTAGTCTTAGTGGGTTTTCCCATTGTTGGCCTTCATTGTTGCATCTTTATACTATAGGGTCTCCATTAGGAGGTAATCTTTTCTAAGTACCTTTGGATTTATTTTCTGTCACCTTAATGTCAAATCAGTATTCATCTCTTGGTGTATGGAATTGATAATAGTCATGGAACCTAGTTACATACATGGTTATTCAGGAACATTTTTTTTTTTTTTTATATTTTAAGTGTAATCATAATGAAACCACTTATATTTTCAAGTTGTGCACTGTAATATCACTAGATATAGGACACTTTAATTACATGTAAAAAAAATCTTAGTATTTTATAATGAGCTTGGAGGTACCCCTGTTTTACTTCAGTGCCTTGAGGACCTAGGGGCAATCGCTCATTGAGCTGTGTGCTTCAGTTGTGCTTTTTGATTCATTGGTATGTATAGGATTTATGGTATGCGCGATTAAGGTACATTGTGTTTGATTGCTTGCTCTATGAATGTTAAAAGGGTGGTTTATTGATGTTTTTTAGTGGGGAGGAGCCTAAGTGCCTAACAGACCTGTTGAGTATTTTTTATTGAGGTACCTTTTAGATATTTGATTACCATAAGCTCCCTTTGCTACTGGCCTCTGTCATCTTGTTGGATACTATTATCAAAATCTGGGATGGTGTGTTATTCTTGTATTGCTTATTATAATTAGATTTTACATTAGTGAAAACAAGATCCTAGCCTTTTGGTAGGGTATTTTTCACTAGTATGTAGGTTTATACACCAATAAGCACTATTGCCTTTCAGCATACTTTTTCTTTATGATAATTTGGTCTCAGGAAGGCTTGGAATTGAGCAAAAGTGAATTTGCTCTTTGCTCTTTATTGGTCCATGAGAGGGCCAATACTAGCCAAACTAAAGGGCATACCTTTCTTGTGGATTGCGTTGGTGGTGAACCAAAAGGCATACTCCTTGCTGATTATGTAAAGCCATTATCATTGAGCTGGCTTGTATCTTACTTAATGGTGCTCAACACCCAAATATGAGCACTGACTTTGAATAAGGAAGTCTCTCTTACTTATGTCTGGCTGCATGTGAATATGCATGAGCTTCATATGACTTGCTTGGCTAACTGAAGTTATTGATTTGCAGCTATTAGAAGGTCTACAAAGTTCGATGGTGATTCCCAAGATGCCTTCTGTTTCACATGACAAAGGTCGGAGGAATTTGCGAGGTATATTATCTGTTTCTCAGTGCACAATTGTACCATGTCTTAATGAGATGAAACTGACCACCATTGTTACAGGAAAGTAACTTTAGGAGACATTCTATTGTGAGGTTCAACCCAATTCTGGAAGTGAAGAAGGCTACTGATTGATTATTAGTCCACAGGCAGTCTGTATATTTATAGTTACTTTGTTAGGAGCTAGGACTGGAATTTCTCAGTTTAGTTTTTAGTTGTAAAATCTGCTCTGTAGATGTTTATCTTTGATTGTAGGTCTTTAAAATGTGGATCCTACTCTCGGGTTCCTCACTCAAAGACATTTGTACATGATTGAGCTTGGTATAAGGCTTTAAGATGCCTTTCTATAGCATTTTAGTTTTTCAATGGTTGTCATCTCATGTTTTGGTATTTTGTTGTGGATTCGAAGCTTTATGTCTTCGAGAATGAGTAGTCCTTGAACAAGGCTGATGTGGTGGGTCAATTATGCCTAAATTGTATACTTTGTATGAGTATAAGATATGAGTATACTTACGGCTGTATATTGCATAATATATTTTATGATAGTGCTAATTTTGCGCTAAACAGCTGGTTGATGATAATTGGCTGAACTGAAGTATGCAAATAATTATCCATATTAATGTAAATTTCACGTTAGTTCTATAATTACTCCGTAGTAAAATTTGAAATCTATGGTTGTTTTCGACCTAATTAAAAGTACTACGTATTAACAACAGATTTTACTTGTTTGTGTCCCAACCCCATATGTATACTTGGCCGAGGTGTGGTTAATATATTTGTTGCCAAACAATGAATTTGCCTTGGTTTGATGAAAGTGAGAAAAACGTGTAAGCTAAAGCTGTAAAGCTAAGCCTTGAAAGGTTACGGAGTGATATAAGGTTTGTATGATTAGCTTGTTCTCTCTTCTAGAGTTGTAGAATTGTCTAAAAGCTACCAGATGATCCTACTGTGACAACATTGAGTATGAGGGTCGATTGCTAAATCATTTCGGCCACACTGTGAAACATACTTTTCGTTCGTATTTGAAGAGAAATGACCAATAAGAAGTTTGTAATTCAACTAACGAACCATGGATTAAAAGAATGAAGAATGAACACATCGATACAAAATGTTGCTTTAGCAACGAGTATGTCAAACTGAGAGAAAGGCCTAATGCTAGGTCACACATCTTGGATCTAATCACACATAAAAAATCAGTTTCAGATCTAGCTACATAAGCTGCAAAAAAACATTTATAAACAATTGGAGGTCATCAGAGTGTTCTAACTGATATTTACATCAATCTAGCTCGAATTTTGTTGACCAATATCCACTCAAAGGAAATTGAATCTATCATGATATCACCTTGAGGCGCGTGATGAAAATTAAACACAAATCACAATCTAGGCAAAAATTCATCATCTTCTGAAGACCCCAACCGTTCTGTAATAGCTGTGTTGTTTGATCTTCGCCACCTCTCACTCTCAGAAATGTCAAGTTCTTCACTAGTGTTGTTAGTAGGTTTCCTACTTCGCCTTCTGCATATGCAAGCGGCTGGAAATTCATGAAATTCACCCCTTCCTGGCTTCATTTCATCGGGTTCACCCATGAATCCCCTCTGAGCTGATTTGACCTTTTTAGCAAATGTACGCCAATCCATCGTGTCCCTTGACATGAATAAAGCGCTAAGCCTTTTTGCATTTGGTTTAATTGTCCTCTTGTGGCCCATATACCTCCTGAATAAGAAATTAGATTGCCAGAAATAAGGTCTCTGATGGTTTAAAAACATGTTTACTACCGAAGTTGCATACCAAAAGTTGAACTAGCAAACAGAGGATTTAAACATATTCTACAAGGTGAAATTGCTCAAACAAGTGGTTTTTATTTTATTTTTTAAAAAAATTCCATACACAAATATTCTTACCCTATCTACATTATACAGCTTTTCTCTGACCTTTATTCAGGGTATTTGCTAAACCAGTATTGATGCTCATATATAAGCTCAACAGAATCATGTTTGGAAACACTATATACATTTAGAACAGCCTATCTATTGATTTATTTTTTAGGAACTACTCATTTAAAGTTTCTGCCAATTAGAGCGTGAAGTGCAAGTCAGCAACAGCATGCACAATGAAAAGGATTGAAGCTTAAATTGGCAGAAATTACAAGAGCTCAATATACACCAATTCAACATATGAACATACTCAATAATAAAGAGATTATCAAATAGACATTCATAGAAAGACTTCATAACATTTTAATATTTACCAAGTTTCATTTCCACTGAAACTACTTCAGCAACAGATGTCAATGACTATGCTGTTTCTATATGTAATCACAATAAAATTCTAATAGACAACAAACATTCTTTTAAATAATAGCACGCAACTTATGAACAACAACATGCTGCCATGCCAAGAAAACATTCTATTTGCAAGGTCAAGAAAAACCTTTATTAGTGCAATCAAGAAAACATTAGTTCTATGTAAGTCAACCACTAAGCAAAGTACAATCAAAAGGATACAGTATATGCATTTAAGTTAATATCCCACATATATTCAGGGTAACCTTAGTTACATAAAAAGGAAACTATAATGCACATATTGTGAAACAAGAGTCCACACAACTGGTTGAAGGTAAATAAGTAGCTTTTGAATTGGATGGCCAAGTACCTGGAAATGATATATAATTGGACGATTAAGTTTGTTCAACTGCCTATACAATTCCTAGCCTATGTGAGTGTCCATGTCCAAAGTTCTTATATGTTATACCCCCCCCCCCCTCTCTCTTCTCTTCCTCCTACCTTTTATATTCTCTTACATATTACTTTTCCTTTGTATTCTGTTATTTACTTTGAGAGCTTAAATTGTCCAGTTTTTACTTTTAGAACTTTTCCTAACATCAGTTTCAAAGTGGTGTTTCCTAGTTCTTTTAAAAATATATTTCCACAAGCCATGATTATGAAGGACATACAACCTCCCAGGCTGCGCCAACTGATTATTAGGGTGTTGTTGGAGCTCAAAAGATTTCTATTCCCCAAGCCCGTTTCACGAAGCGAAGTGCTCCCTCTGTTTCTTTTCTATGCATACGTTTCTATTTTGAGCATTTCCTTTCTTTGTTTACGCTTCTCCTTCCAAAAATATTCTTACACGCTCACCGTCATATTTACCTACTTCCAATGCAACTATTCTCATATACCAAACTAATTACACAACCCCAAAACAACTATTCCCATTTGCCAAAAATATTTACCTAATCCCAAAGCAAATACTCCCATTTACCAAAATATTTACCTACTCCCAAAACAAATATTCCCATTTTACCTACTCCCAAAGCATTTTTCTTAATACCCACATAAAATCCGAAACCTAACTATAGAAAAGATACGGAGGGAGAAGTTTACAAGCATACTATAAGCCTTGAGAATTTTCTTACAAGCATCTGCTGTCAACACTATCAGCATTTTAAACTCTTAGCAAATCACAAAACAAAAAAACCTCTGTCAAAAGATTTCAGAAAAGTTCAAGATTTTTGTTTTACCCTATAAGTTGGAAAGTTTGAATCTTACCTGCGACCTGCTAGTATCTTTGCCATATTCCCATTGTTGTTGGTCACAAATACATCACTCTCATCACATACTATGTAGTCAATGGCAGCAAGACGAGAAGAGAAAGGCACAAGTGAATTCAGCTCCTCGCCAGCAAGGATCTCCTTTGTGTAAAAGTTAGGAAAAAGTTCCCTAAGAGGTTGTAGAGTTGCCTCCCCACCATATATTTCACCAGACGCCACATAAAGGTAGGTGTCATTCTTATAGCCAAGTGCTCGCAGCATTACACCAACTTCTTCAGGAGTAAGTGGACATTTTCCTCTTTTACGCTCTTCAAGAGGGCTCAAATTCTAACAAACAGCAAGAAGCAGATTAGAATTATAAGTCGGGTTTATGGCCAGGACAGAAAAGTCATAATTCAATTTTAATGAAAAGAAAGAACAATATCCACATTCTAAGTAAGTTAACCAGGTAATGCTTATAACAAGGCATGACAACATATGCCATATGGTCACTTGGATCTATTAGCATCAGTTAGTTTCACTAAGATGATGAACTCCTGAATTCATAGATCACCAAAAGTTGTGACAAAGTCAAGTACCTTGAATCATCACAGGAAGCTATAAAAAAACTACCACAACTATTTCTTTCTGAATTTTAAAATAAAGAAACATATTAAGGAGACGAAGCAAGATGAAATCATAGCCAACACTTAAGACCAATTATCAGTGGTGTCATGCTTCACAAAACTTAATGAGCAAATAAGTTACCTGCAAGATGCATCAGGTTTTACAGATTATATGCTGGTCACAAAACCTTGACATAAAAAAGGGTATTACACTGACTGCCAATAATGAACACAGAGTCACAGATGAGTAGTGTATCAAACTGCAGGATTTATATGCACTAATTGAACTCCAATGCAATTATATAGGTAATTCTAAGTGATATGTTGATGGACAGGATCACACCACACCATATAGGAGATCGAGGACAGGGTTTTTAGGAATTAAAACTGGGTTTGATGCTGATGGAAGCAAAATTGGAATCACTTCAAAGCATAATTCAATAACTGTATGTGAAAAAAAAGTGTTGCCTTTTGTTCATATGTAACAGTTGGTAACTGACCACTTGAAATCTATAGGTACTAGAAAGACTTAATAGTAGGGGTTACCACCCAAGTACGTGATAATAAGGACAACAACAAGGAATGAATATGGTAAAGTTGAAAGCAATAAGAAAGAAAGAAATCTCACAGGTAATGTGTCCCATCTTTTTCTGATTTCGCGAAGTTCATTTATTTCCTTTTCACCTCCACCATAGTAGCACCCAGAAAATGCAAGCATATCAGGTTCAAACCTGCACATGTTGGATTATTAAATATTGGTAGCAGAAAATAGCATCATCTCGATCTAAGTTCACAATTAATTTAATTAGCAGAAGCTGACAAGATGTCACTGATGTAAGCATTTATTTATGGCCATAAAGATAGAACACAAACAATTAAGCACAGCAAACTAACAAAGCATGAACTCAACTTTACCCTATCAAGACAGTAATGACTAATATCAATCAATAAAAACCAAAGGCTGCTTAGAAGTAGCAAAAAAGTCTTTTTCTTCCCAAAAATCATGAGTTAAGCAAAAGATTATTAAGTGTGAAATCTTTCTTTGGAAGAAATGAGCAGCTATTAGGGACCTTCTCTAGCAGTGAGATTTATTTTAATGGAGGGATTAGTTTTACCAGCAGAGTCAAGAGATTCCAAGGAGCTTACACAAACATACAGAGTCTCATTTCCATTTATGAACGTTTTATTACAAATCAAACAAACCTCAAATGAACTGCAATAAACCGATTAGCCATCTCACGCATTTTCAACACGACTTTCGAACCAAGTTCCTGTATTGGTTTGGTAAATCTTAGTGCATGATAATTTACTCGGCAACGCAACTTCTGAAGCTCTGGATCAAGATCGTTTGCTAGCCTGTAGTCAAACTTGTACAGCTGAACAACCTGCACATATTATACACATTACTAGGCTACCCTTATAGCTAAAAAGCAAGGAAACAAAGAAACTTCCAAATCATAAAAAATGTTCATTCAATATATTGTTATTATTTCAGCTATAATGGAAATATGATTTGAAACCATGCAGGGATCAGAAGATAGAAGAAGTTTTCTTACATGTCGCCTCATAAGTATTGGCAAGACTAGCTCTATATAATCTTCAGGGGTTGACTTCCTAGGCACTCGCATAGTATAGGGAGGCTTTTCCATGGATCTCATGATTTTATCTGGAACTCTTTTCACAATTTTCACATCCTTCGCAAGAGAAGATATGAACCAATCAACATCAAAAATGTCTGCAAAGTCACTGCACATGAAGGATTTTAGACATGAGACAATCAATTAATGGTCACATTAGAATTGAGAGACACAAGCTTCATTTTATTTATTAAGAAAAAAAATCCAACATACCTATCATCTTTCCAATAGGAATTGTGGTCCAGTGAGGGAACAACCAGAGTAGCATTAAGTATTCTAGCCACAACCACAGCATCTGTTATCTGTACAAAAATAAGACTATAAATCCCAATAGGAGGAGAAAGACCATAATAGGAAAAATAAATGAGTATAATCAATATCCTACATAGTACATACAGAAACATGAAGAGTAAAGCATGAAAGCCCTCCACTTACCCCAGTTCTCTGCTGATTCAGCCCTCCACTGGTGGCGATAAGCAGATACCCATTTGAAAATCGCTGTGGGACAGCAGCTGCATCAAACCAGGCATTATTAGAGGAGGTACATTAATGTTCAAACCCGAACTTAACTCATAATAAAAATTCATAAGATTTCAGATTTAACTTGGGGTCTATGTGAGATAGCATGTTGAAGAAAACTCACAATAATCCAAGTCCATAGAGGTATTTGAAGATGAAAATTGATAGGGAAGGAATCAAACAGCTAAAGTTGGCAATCGACAAACAGAAGGGCAAGGCTTTATTTTACCAGAAGATATTTTTCCAACATCCTCTGTTTCTTATTATCATTGAAAAATATATGGACAATTACTTTAAAAATGTCATTAAAAAGTTCTCAAGAATAGAGAATCTTATTGAAATAGCATCCCTAATAATCGTAATACATAAAAAAAAAAAAAATAATAATAATAATAAAATAAAATAAAATAAAAAACCAGCTCAGCCAGATTATTGAAGCAGAAATCTGCATTGCCAACTGCTGAAAGAAAAGCTTAGATACGTAGATACATGTGAGGCTTATGCCAGATATGATAGGTAAAACAAACAGATGAGTCAGCTAATCTACACTGCACGCATGGTCAAATCACCATAACCAGTGAGTATCCATAGAAAAGACGTAAACTTAATGAATAGATTTCACAAAACAAAGCAAATATTTGGGGTTTGCCATCATTTGCAACAAAAATAGAAAACAAAAGGCAGAGAAAAGGAGCAGAATAAATGCAGGAATAACCAATATGCTCCTCCATTTAGTTCAAAACCATAATATGGAGTACATGTTTGCAAAAAATGTAAATAAAATGACAGCTTATAGAGTGAACATTCTGCAAGTCTCTAGAAGCTAAATCAATTCAAATTACTTGGGAAATGATTACAACTTACAACGAAAATGCCGGCCTCTTCTACTGCATCCATAGTAAGCATCCATATATTTTGATTTCCATATGTTAATTGGTTCATGAATGCTTGCAGCCTACAGAACAAAGCACAAGAGGTTTGCATTATAAACATGTACATAGCAGTCTATCTCTTGCAAAGGCTATATTAAACAATACTATACTCCTATCCCCTTGATAAGAATTTTTCATAAGCTAAAATGCTAAATAAACTTGTACATACATTGCCTCGAAAACACAGCAAAATAATTACTCACAACCACTTTTGTCCATGGTAAGGAAAAAAAAAAAAAAAAACAAGTTTAGATGCAGATCAGTGGCTGAACACCGGAAAAGAAAAATGCACGTTGTGGATAGACTAAACAAGAAGTAAGTCTCGAGGTCAGACACTCAGACTAAATCACTCTCTCCTATTTTGCTTCAATTGGAATCAGCTCACCAACTAAATGAAGGAAGAGATTTCGTCTAGGGCGTTTAAAAGCCTACGTTACGCTATCAAACACATTTTTGCATGCACACTACCACACATTGCTTAATCCACCAGAACCTAATCAATCAATGTGCTTACTCTCCATATACAAACATAAAAAGAATATCTAGCAAGAGAGAAATGGAAAAACCACGAAAATGGATCATCAAACTCAGGTAACTCCAGAACATTCAATCATTGTAAAATACTTAATTCACAATACTCCCAGTTCCCCACCCACCCAACCCCCACCCCTTCTTCCCCCACAAACAAAAAATAATAAAATAATAATAAGCAAAACAAATTTATTTATTTTACATATATCTAAATTGGAGCAAAGAAAATCTCAATTCCGATTTTATTGAATGCCTGACCAAATAAGTTCTAAACCAGGAAAGACTTATTTGGGTAATAAATTCAACTCTAATTGCCATAAAAAGTAAATTCAGTATGTATTAACCAAACTAAAACCCAAAATTCAGAATTCAGAAGCAACAAAATAAAATTTAGCTAAATTGAAGAAAAAAACAAACTTAACCGCAGAAACAGAAAAAGTAAACCAAAATTTACAAAGCAGCTAAGCATTACATTGATTCAATCTTCCAAATTTTCAAATTATCATTTAAAACCCATGAACCAAAATTAGGGTATAAGGCAAAAAACTTCAAAAACCCAGAAAAAAATTTGACAAATTAACAAATAATTTAGAGAGAGAAATTACCCATTTGGTGATCAAGTGAGGCTTAATTAAACGCTGAGAGTAGTACTCAAGATCAGAAACAACATGTCCAGTAAACAAAGAGATTAAACCAAGAGCAAATAACATAATCCCACAAATTAACGACCATGATAATGGCTTTCTCTGAGATCTCCAGCAAGAAATATGATGTTTTTGAAGCTTCATGAAATTGGGATCATTTGTATTACCATTAATATTAATATTAACATTTACATTACCATTCATTGTGGTAGCATTAACCAACCCAGATTCAACAGAGGGTTGGTTAGTGCTCCCAACACCCATCTTTCAAAACCCAAATCAACAAAGATTGCAATTAATCAATTTTCTCCTCCAAATTTGATAAAAATTATCAATGTGTTGGGTTCTTATGGGAATTAGGAACCCTAATTAATGAAATTGGGGGTGGCACTGAAATTGTGAAGAAGAGCGTTAAAACAACTGCCGAATTTATACTATTAATTTGGGTTTTTGTGGGTTTGAATTTAATGGAGATGATCTATAGTGAAGAGCTGGGGTTGTGTGTAGACAATGGAAGAGGAGAGAGAAAGAGGCGCATTTAAGTAAGAAAAAAAAAGGTGAAAAAAAAGGAGATTTATTTAATTTCATGAAAAATGGAAATTACTCAAGGTGGAAGTTATGCTTATTCCATTTTTTTAAGGGATATTTTTGAAAAAAGGTGATAGTCATTTTTATTTGTTGGGTGTAGGTGTAACCCTTTAAGGAGTCCTAATAACACTTGGTTTTGTTCTTGAGTGTTAGGTAGGGCTTTGTATGAATCTAATACCTGAATCTCTACCGCTGTTAAATTGATGTATACGGACTATATGATAATCTGTTTTACAATAAAAATGATAACTATGAATTGAATCGATAAAGTTTCGATAGCTCATAATCTTGAATCAAATATCTAATATTTGATATGAATAATACTTCAATCTGTATCATTTAACACTGGTTACCAATATTTTCACATAATCGATTACATTACCAATACAATTATTATATTGATCAACTTACAAAATGATTAGTAAATAATTTAACTTTAATTTAATTAAGAGAGAAGAGACAATATGTTTATTCGATGTTGCTCTATTTATCTAGTTAGATGTCGGATTATTCTCGGATAACTTTACTCAACCTTTAGATACATAACAGATGCCATTTTAAGAACTTAACAAGGATGTTCATTATTATACAAGCCATATAAAGAATTGAAAATGGGATATTTCAAGTATGATGTACAAATTACATTTTCAACAGCTAGTAACTTAGGTATAGCAATAGGATCCTTAAGATGTGAAAACGTGATGAAGATCTACATGACTACATCACTTGCGCACACATAAGGTGGAAAAATGCGATTTAGATCCCAAATCATGTTACAACTTATATAATTATCATATCATAGTATATAATTTTGCTTCAATCATCCGCACTTACAGAGTATATTATAGTGTTGGTGCATGTGGTATTATATAGATGTCAAGCTGAATTGCTTTATAAATAAGTTACAAAGATTTTACAAAAAAAAATGTCAAAAGTAGACCTCAGACAAGTTGCATTGCTTCCTTCAATAGCGCATGGTTCTTTTTTTTTTGGAAAATAAAAAAGACTAATGCATGTTCTTTTACCAAAAAAAATGGATATAGTATAAAAAAAAAAATTATAAAAATAATGTATTTAGATTTAGTCACATAGAGCATGTTCTTTATATGTACAGTGTGCTGTGTTTAGCAAATTATGTCCGGTATATTAGGCCTTATTCTTCCATGTTAGTTGTTAGTTTGACTTTTTTTTTGGTAATAAATAGTTTGACTTTTCATGTTATGTTCGTTAATTATGTAGATGTTTTATGAAGAAGTACCCTCTAAAAAGTGGTCCTTTCCTCTTTAACACTAAACTAAGTCGATCGCTACTAGGCAACTAGACATATATAGGAGCAATTTTTTTTTTCTAAGCTAGAGGACATTAAACCCATGTCGATAACCATCAACATCCTTGGTCCTCAGACAGGACGGATGAAAGGAACTTACATGGTTGGATGGAAAAATGTGATGCATGTACGACAAAGAGTCATGTGTGTGTAATACCTATATTTAGTTTGGTTTTTAGCGAGACTTGGCATATCAAACATATGTTTAATTTGATTAATTGAAGGGACCTGAATCTAGTTCGTCTATCCTAAAGGCAAAATGTCATAATTCTCTCATTTTGCCCGTCGTTTCAAAAATTCTAAAGATGTGGGTGATTAAGGGTTTGGTGACGTGTGGTTTAACAATGATGTGTTTAGTATAAGGGTGACAATGAAGATCGGAGAGATGGACAAGGGAAAAAGAGGTGGGAGGGCCGGGTGAGGGTGGGGGGAGGAAGGATGGTAGTTACTAGTTAGGCTTTGAGAAGGTAAGGTGGGAACAATATAAATCCCTAAATGATGAGTATGAGAGGTTGAGAGTAGACAATGCATGCATGACAATATGACATAGTTAGGGTTGCGTCGGGTTATTCTTTAGTGACAAAGCGCTAAATTTGTGACTCAATTACCACGTATTATATTATGCTACAAAGTTTTGAAAGTTGCCAGAAAGATGACATGATATATTTGTATAAGAAACTTATAAAATACCAAAAGAATTAGAAAACAAAAAAATGACACCACAAGATATAACTTAACAATTGAAAATGAAGATTATATAACATAGTAAACATGCAAGTATGCAACATAAAAATAAAAATAATAATAAATTAAATTTAAAGCTGAACTTCTATCATGAAGGCACTACTTAATTTCTCTTAAAAGTTAAAATATACGGATTACTTTGTATTACTCTGTTTCAACTTTATAAACAGTATAGAAGTAACATATATTACGTAGTAATTTTTTTTGAAAGAAAACATATATTAAGTAGTAATTAACTAGCCAGGATTGCAATTTGAGATGAATCCTTAATGATCTAAAAGTCTCATAATTATTATAGTTGATTTAGTCATAAGTAGTTGAGTACTACTGTATTTAATGAGCACAAACTAGTTTATAAGATGAAAACATGCATACGTAAGTCTCAACAAAATTGCGAAATTGGATAACAAATACGTGAATTAGGTAGACACAGACCATACAGTACTAATGATGCTATGAAAGGTTAAATCTGATAAAACTAAACATATTAAACATAATTCATAATTAATGTTTTAAAAATAACTTTGAATGATCTTTAGGTTGATATTGATGAGTGCTACACTGCTACTGCTTCTTTTTATGTGACCCAATCAAGTGACCGATCAACCAATCACGTCATACGGTCCCAATTTGTCCTTTTTCTAGTAGTCCCATATTGTTTTTTTTGGAGCCAAAACATTATGATAGTGAACAAACATTATTCTACTCTGTTTTCCAAATTATGTCTCATTTATTGTACTCTTGTTTATTAAAATTATGAGGAAAAAAAAAATTGAGTGGGAACGTGTAAGTAAAATAAATTACATAGTTGGTGTAAGAAAACTAAAAATAAATATCAAAAATAAATTAAAAATTTTAAAGTATTTAAATTGATGAGTGGGTCTAACTTTCAGACATTATATGTGAGACAGTATTAAAATTAGTGGCATATGAGTAGACGGAACCTTTCACCAGGGCCATTTAAGGCCCAACTCTGATAAAGTATTGTAATTAATTAGTTGATAAATTTAAATAAATTTATTTTATAAGAGTGATTATTTTTGACATTTAAGCGACAGGTAAAATATTCAAATTTGGACTCTTAAGTCATATTTTTTGCCAAGATCCGTCAAAAAGTCTAAAAGAAAGCAGTGGGGGTTGAGGAACCCACAACATGGGCAAAAGACCCAATGGCAATTGAAATAGGGTCAATGGGTCACTTTCTAAGCTTGCTCTGAACTAATAGCAGTAATTTCTGGATTTAATCAAGTTTGGTATGTCCACATGCAATAATTTTTGTATGATTTACTGTTTCTCTATAATAATGATACATTGATACCTCTAGAAAAATACATTAATTTTTTTTTATTGAAGTAGCTTTTATATTAATATTATCTTCACTTTTTAGGTGAAGTGGTGAAGTAATGAATCGCATATTAAAGCTTGCAGCACCAGTACCTTTTTTTTTTGGGGTGGATACATCATAATTCCATTATCTATAACTCTATAAGCTATACTAGTCACATAAATTAGGTTGAATGATCATAGAATACTCCATCCAATTGAAAATTATAGATTTGTACGGAGTACATATACTATTTCAGTATTATGATGTCTAGGAAAATTATTTGTCTTTTACTAAAATTTTATTTTGTTTTTCTTTTTTCAAAATATCCATGATTAATCAAACATAAAAGTTTTTTGATTTTAATAAGATTGTGTCATTTTTTGTTGTATGTCTTGTAATTATATCTTTTTGAGGGGCTAAAACAATGTCGATGAGATTTACAAAAATAGATCCTTTTAGATATTGTTAATTTGTGATGCAAGTATTAAGCATGACATATTTTAGTTGATACACGTACATCGTTTGAGGTCAAGTGTTATTCCTTTTACCAATATATAGTGCTACACAATATATATTGGTACTATATATTGGTAAAGGGTATATATATATATATATATATATATATATATATATATATATATATATATATATATATATATTCTAAAACAAAATGTAGTATATGATTTGTTTTACTTTTTTTATTTTTTTGGAGTTAAGTAGTTATAATGGACCCTTATCTATATATTAGGGTGTGGGATGGTTAAAGACAAAATTTTCATTGTTATGTTTATAAACACAATATAATAAAGGGTAATGTTACATGTAGCCCTAAGGGATATATATAAGCATTAAATATACTCTTAGAAATTGTATAAAATTAGGAATTTAGGACAAAAAACACGCGTAAATCAGTGTATTTAATATTTATATTTTTATGATTTCTTAAATTTTTACGATTATTAAGTGTAAATTTAATGCTTATATATATCCCTAAGGGCTTTGTATAACATTTTCCTTTTATAAAACATCTTTATAGGAAGGAGGGGTTGGAGGACTTTAATTTGCAGGCTTTATGAGTATTATGAGTTAATGACTCCAAATTAAAATGTCATTAATTACCTTGAATGTAATATACTAATGTTGTTGACAAACGTATATAGAAAAACATGTCAAATTTATTCAACATGCTCTATAATAATTGTCACCAAAATTCTTGCACAACGTAAATTGCAATTTAATTTAATTTGTACCCTACACTGAAGTTTTTTAAACAATTTTCAAAATTAATTAGATAAAAAGTTGAGCCTCAATCAATAAATGTATAAATAAAAAATGAGCACAATTGATTTTTTTTTTTATATATAATTTTTATATGTACCATAAAAAAAGAATCAAATAAAAGTTTTGACGTATTATTGAATTATTGTTTTGTAGGGTGAATTCATATACTTTGTATGAAATATGTACAAGTCACTTTCTTATAAAAAAAAAACATTTAAAATAGTATTAATTCAATGGCCACTATAAACTTTTGATCTAAACCCTTCATTTTTAGAGGAGATCTTATCCAATCATTTATCAAACCATAATTTTTTACAAACAAACAAACAAAAAAAAAAACATTGACAACATATTTAATGACGGTA